TCGTTAGACAAGAACGATTGTGTCACAGTACGAGACCAAACCAGGACAAGATATATTGAAGTTGACGATGCTCTACATCTGGTGTTTCTAACCACGGTGTCACCTCAGTTCCGTATATCAAGGATGACACCTGACGGGAGATATTTCAAATACATAACCACAGACGTTGCGTACCCTAGTGCAATATGCCTTGATACAACACAGCGTATTGTAAACGTCAGCTGCATAGGGAATATTAAACTATATTCATATGATGGCGAAGTCAGGGAAGTTACAAGTTTCCTTCAACGGCCTTATGCCTTGGCACTGGATGAAGATGCTCTTTATGTTGCCTTTACAAGGACTGTCAAGTACATGTCTGTGTCTACTGGATCAGGGTTGAATACACTTACATACGTTAAGCATAACCCTTACAACGTTCTGCATTATGGAGAACAACTTTATGTAAGTTATACCCCAGTAGGGCCTGATATTATTTCTGTATTTCATCATAATCGTTGTAGTAAAAGGAAAATGAAAGCAGGCGGAAAGCAAGGAAATGTAATGACTCTGATACCTTAAACACAGATAGGATATTTGCACTTGCAGCTTCTACTAAACTATATTTTGAATCCGTGTCATATCCGCAGAAATGTGAATGCATTTAATGTTAGCATAATCATAATAATAATATAGAAAGATGACACTATACTGACTGAGTGTGGTTTTACGCCGCTTTTAGCAATATTCCAGCAACATTACGGCGGGGGACACCAGAAATGGGCTTCACACATTGTACCCATATGGGGATTCGAACCCGGCTCTTCGGCGTGACGAGCCAGCGCTTGAACCACTAGGCTACCCCACCGCCCCGATGACACTATAAGTCTCGAGGCTAATAAGGTCTGATGTACGCCTCTTTGTAGCAGTGTCACTCGAGCTGGTAGGCCAAGGGTGGCACTCCTGCTAAAAGAGGTACATCAGACCGTATTACCCGAGGGAGAAGCATACAACGTATATATCTTACCGCCATGTTAAATGTACAAATTATAAGTTAATGTTATTTTGAAGATCGCTACCGACTATACCACATGTACACAAAATGGCGTCTGCCTCTCGGCTGGAATTAAAACATCAGTGAAACATATTTTGATAAGCTTACAGCTGCTATAAATATGGTTATCTATGTTTAAGTTGAGTGTGCAAACGATTCAATGTATAAAATAGTTTAAATAAAGCAGTGGAAGTCGGTAAAATAAATCTGTACATAGTCATATTATGACATCATGCGATTGTTAGCGATACAGCTTCCCGGCGGAGAGTTTGGCGGTTACCGTGGCAACGGGTAATACTTTTTCCAGAGGGGTGACACGGAAACTTGTTAAAGCGTCATTGACCAATAACATTAAAGTATTTTACATGAAGATAAGATAAAAGGTGACCCGGGTTCGAATCCCCACATGGGTACAATGAGTGAAGCCCATTTCTGGTGCCCCCCCCCTCGTGATATTGCTGGAACATTGCTAAAAGCGGCGTAAAACCAAACTCAGTCAGTCAGTCAGTAGTAACAGAAAATAAAAAGGGAAAGAGAGAAACGTTTGTGTCCTAACGTTGCTTATTCAAACGGGTTAACATTTATCTTCAGTAACCCATCGACGATGTGCCAAAAGGGGAACGTTTGTGTCTGTGGTTCCCCGGCAGTGTGTCGCACGAGTAGCAGTGAAATGCCATGTATCTCAGTTGTCTCGTATTGCAAATATACGGTTGTTAGAATTTTCAACGCTGACATTGATCTGGTGGGCGCGAGGGGGTTTGAGTGTCGTTTGTTGAGGTGGATTTTATACCACTTTCATTCAGGGTATGTTTCATAGAGATAGTTTGTTTAACGCAATGTGTCAACGAAGTCAGCGAGCCTGACCACATGATCGCGTTAATCGCCTCCTCTGACAATCTCCTCGGGACAGTTAATTTTCGTATCTTATCACAGGGAATGATGTCTGACACTGATAGTTTCACTTAGTCGCCAAGGTTCAGAAAACCCATTTGTTCGCTCTTTTATCGAAAATAATCCCAGACCTATTTCTTGATCGTATTTACAACATTTAGCCATCTGTAAATCATTTAAGTGTTTTGGTGGATACTTCAATGACAAAAACAAAATTCTTTTTTGGCTTATAATACATGTTCCAGTGCACAGATCCACATTTAGCTCCAAATATGTGTACAGACGGCTATTAAAGACAGGCGTTGCTTATTTAGTTATGTTTAAAACGGTCTCGGAATATTAAATGATCCAAGGAACATTAACGCTGAATTAATTATCGCTTTCAGTTCCGCTGCAGTGAAATGTTTATTCTGACTCGTGCTGAAGTCAGGCGATGGGAATACATTTGTTTATGTGTGTAAATCTGAGTGAGTGAGTTAAAATTTATATTCATATGAATAGGTTTTTTTTATATATATAAAATCTACGAAGACGTTAATGTTATTACACTCAGTAATATTCCATGTATCTATATACTGTCCATACATGAAAGGTTTACATTTCTAGATTTTGAATGTATGAAAAACAATTTGTTCTTGGAACAATTTGGCTGAAATATCGACGCTAAATATTAACTCACTCCCTCACTCACATGGCGGCGGTCTGTAAATAGATCGCGAGTGGACCAGGCAATCTAGTGATCAACATCATGAGCATCGATTTTCGCAATTGCAATACGATGACATGTGTCAACCAAGACCTGTTCCCGTTAATCGCTTCCTACGACAAGCATGGGTTGCTTTAGACCAATTCTAATCAATTCTAACCGGTGTATCCTGTCCAATCTCTGTTTCAAGACACTGTGGACGATATGACATGCGTATCACGAGTATCATGATAGTTTGTTCGTTCTTTTTTTCCACAAAATACCAGCGACTGTAAATGTCTGAGACTGGGTCAGACCATCTAGTGGTTGATGCCATGAACAACGAACCTCGTCAACAGGCTATGACGACACACAGTCAGCCACGTCACATGGTCACGGCAGCATCACCAGTCAGTTTTGTATGATCTATTTTTGAAATTATGACGCATCATCGCTATTGTAATTATCACAATATATTCTCTCTCATCAGATTTCATATTGTTAGGGTGTTGGGGTAGCCTTGTGGTTAAAGCGTTCGCTCGTCACGCCGAAGGCCCGGGTTCGATTCCCCACATGGGTAAAATGTGTGAAGCCCATTTCTGGTGTCCCCCGCCGTGATATGGATGGGATATTGCTAAAAGCGGCGTAAAACCCACTCACTCATATTGTTAACCTGATATGGCTTGATTAAAACATGGTTAGACGGCTGACTCTGTGTGCTGGTGATTAGGTGCCTGACTCTGAAGAGAGTAGGTTCGATCCCCGGAAGGCAATCAACCCAATAAATGAACTACAATCTGTACTTAACTGAGAAATGCGTTACATTTGACCACTTTCGAAATTGAGATTGTGTATTCGTTATGGATACCCATTTGTTTAATACATAGAATGATTCGTAGCAATTTAATGGATACGGTAACGTGCCCACTTGCGTTTAAGTCCCATTGGAGAAATATATAACTTTATGGGGGCAACAAATTAAATATTTATGATAGCAGCAGAGATATCAGCCAGTATTTTTAAACCCACAGTGGCGGGTTGCTTTTCAAACAAGGCTGTTATCAGCTGGCGTGACTTGATACACGAGTATTATTCATAGGCTGACATAAGAGGGTCGCTGAATAGGGTTATATCTAGATAGAGGGTCTAGACCCTGACTAGCTGGGAATAGACTGATTTCATAGTTGTTGAGATTAGTAGATTAGCGAGCATGACATTAATTGTCAGTTCAAATGTATTATGAAGCCGAATGTGTGCGTGCGTGCGTGCGTGCGTGCGTGCGTGCGTGCGTGCGTGCGTGCGTGATGTTTTCATTTGCGACTGTCAACATGATGACAACTCCCCAACTTCGTTTAGGCTAGGATAGTGTACGTCAAACCCGTGTGTGTTTCATAGCCATTCAGGAATATGAAATGGTGAGTGGAAACTAGATCCACTAGATGCGTGACTTGGTTTGATCCGAATATGCCTAATGGTTCAATTATACTGATGCACACTGTTGTTCTTTTTCCAAAACACGTTGTCAAGCAAGGGGACTGTCAGATCATCCCTGCTTCACAACGAATCGAAACATCACACACATAAGATGAAGGAGCTGTTATCCATAACGTTTGTCTATATTGCACTTCCCAACTTCTAAAGTGCCACCCAAAAGAACATCGACGTTAGGCTGTTAACGTTCGGCTCTTGCCACGTTGCATTGATTGCATTTTGGTATATTTGTGTTGATTGGGCACGATATTGTATACTCAAAACAGTTCTCAAAATATTTACGACTGCCTCAGCACAAGGTGTATAGTTTGTTTTTATTTTGAACTGGAATTGCAAATCAGCCTTTGTCTCATTTCGTATTCAGCGACGTTATCATGAGACGCCTAGGGAGACACACAAAATTATAACTTTCAATGACAAAATATTTTCAAATAATATGAACACCAAAAGCACAATTTCGATTCTCACAGGTTACAATGTGTGAAGCAAGCTTGTGGTGTCTCTCGCCTAGATAGATCTGCAATGTTAATGTACCTCACTCACTCCATTTTGTTCACCCAGAGGAGTGCGACCTACATGTATTTCTTATCTCAAAGTGAATATGGAGTGAGTTATAATTTACCGTCACATCGGCAATATTTCAGCCATATCGTGACGAGACCATTTAATTGTTATACATAGTTATTTATGATAAATTATATAAACCTGTCATCGAAGGACAGTCGTAACAACCCCATCGCGACGTAACAACCCCACCTCTCCAAAACAGTCCACTCATCGCCAAGTCTTTAATACCCGGTCGTAAAGTCAATATTCAGTTTCACAGGGAGCACAGTTTAATTCCTCGCCGGCGAGGTTGTACAAAACGTTATCAACTCGCCTTATCTATCAATTGCGTTACATTACAATACAAGACCCCCGATCTCAATATATGTGTAACTAACTGCACCCGTCTGCGGAATCGGATCTGCAAGGTAAGAAATTTATGTTTAAATTTATCTCATTTAATGATTTTAGTAAGCAAACCAAACTGAGATAATTATGATAGTTACATTTCTTTTATCATCAAAACTGTAACAGCTTTAAATACATGTAATCAAGTCACTCATAAAAGACCCGTACATTAGCTATTAGCTCAGTATACAGTAAAAGCAACGCTAATATTTTGGACTCTAAGATGCTTCGGTGAGAGATCAAAGGCGCCGACAGTACTTTATCAGACGATAATGTGCACTATTTGCATTACGTCACAATGTATTGGCGTCACTGCGCCATTCTTGTCAGCCCCCTCGTAATCGAACAATTTTGCATTACGTCACAATGTTAGCGACGTCACGATGCATGTCAGTTGTCATCGCGTCGTACGGCCTCCTACAGTAAACTACTCCGTAGCATCCCGTGTCTTGGTTTGCAGTCGATTCACACAGCTAACGTCACTGGTGGAAACATTACGTATGTTTTACGACGGTTAAAATGTCTCAATTCGACTCACAAGTTTTCAGCGACAGGGTAACGTTGGCAATGTTTACTTCCCACAATGCAATCGTGGAATGTCGCTTGACTAATTAGCTTCATCTCGATGTACTGATCTGAACTTACGTTGGTAGTAGAAATGCGACGTTCATATTACCCGATATGGTTCACGTAAATCACATATGTAATTAAAACATTTAGAGAAGATATTTAATCCGAACGTAAACCGTCATCAAACTGTTAATCATTTATTATTTTTTCTGGTAACGTTCGTCTTAACACTTTCCGTAAAGATGCCAAAATAAAAAAAATTCGTAGCACAGTGCTTTTATCAGTGCGCCATAAAAAGCGGAGACATTAACTGTTTTTTAACGCATAACAAAAATTTGGACAACATTTAACCATGTCTATTTCTCAAAACGGTGAGGCAGTTGCACTTACATTTATACCAACCGATAGGAAATTTAATATTCTACAGTTCTGTGTAATCTTATAGCCGTACGTAGATCCAGGACCACGCGAGCGCAATTCTCGCACAACGTTCACTTTTCAAAGCGTATAAAAATGTGCGTCTGAAAAAAAACTCGGCATCAAGGGGGTAAACCCCCTGGATGCCACAGGGACATATATGTCCTTCCCCTTCAACCCTGAATTTGAAGTCCAAAACAAATCAAAATGTCCCACGCACACAATGAAATCGCTAATGATAATTCTGAAACGTTGCCGATGCATCTAGAATCAGTTGGGATATTTTCCAAAATACAATTACACGAACGCCATAGAGCGCTTTCCGCCATATTGGATAGTGTTTACAAAATTACGTTTCACGAAATGTCGGTATTGAGACGCATATTACATCACGTATATTTCATATTAAGCTTCGAAAAATACATCACTGAATTCCCCATACATTTTAGAATCAAACTGCAACTGGTCTTTGTCACCAATACCAACTGTCTAGATAAAATGTGACGAAACATATTGGGTGTGAAAACGAACGCTGTGCTCGCTTGATTGAAATGTAAACAAAGGCAAATTTCGATTTTGCACTGCATAGCATTTTCTGTAATTTTCCAACATTCACCCGTCTATTCATAGCTTGCAATGGCTCAATACCTTTGGAATATGCAGTATCGTAGCAACAAATAGTAAATTATGAATAGATACAATGCAACGATTTGATAATTCATAAGAAATTGTCAAAGTGTCCGTGCAGCGTGACGCCATGACTGACGCAAAATCACGCAGAACGACAACTGTAATTATCAGCATTTTTGGCTTCTTCTCTTACTTACAGTGAAAATGATAAAAACATATAACAATACAAAGATAGTCAGATTACTTACATGTCATATTTATGTACAAACGATCCCTGAATCAATGGAAGGGTCCTCGCAAAACCCTGTGTATCCTTGTCAGCAAAGCCGCCATTTTGTAAGAAATAGGTCATCGGTAGTGATGTCATACGTCAACATTGTTGTACATATTAGGCAATTTCATTGAGGTGAAGGTCGGTATAACAAGGGTAAACACAATCGCCCAATCCTTCCGATTACACTGTCAGTATTATGGTATATCTTTTGCGTGTAGTTCAGATACTTTTTCATGAAACTGACATCAGTATCTACATTTAGCCTTGTTCAATATCATATCATACGTGCATATAGGGCTTTCGGTGTTTTCTTCTTTGAAAGTTTTTGATTGTTTGAATAATATTTACATAAGAAATTGACACATTTAGTGCAGTACACCATATTCTAAACCTTTACACAAGTGTTAGAAGATCAAACGTAGCCATAACTGCAATTACTTTAGTTCCTATGATGTACAATATTTAATACATTTGGACTAATATTTCAGTTTCATATGAACAGGTTAATGAAAGGCGTTTTAATTCAACCTTATAAGTAAAACTGATAATATTTAAAGGTCACCTGCAACCAAAAAATCAAACAAGAGAGTAAGAGATTTTATGGATAACAACTTCTTTATTATATATGATGCGACGTTTCGGTATGGATTCTTATACCGTTGTCAAGCAAGAGTGAAGTACTACAGCTCAGCCACCGTATGCCAGAGCCACGATAAAAATCCACAAGACCCCACCCAAGGCCAGACTGCTTGTGTGCTTCAGAGACACTGTGTTCTACAGTACCGCCCAGCACCTAACGGAAATCCTTGCCCCACTCGGTAAAACAGCGGACTCCTTCATCTCTGACTCAACAGACTTCTGTAACAAACTCCTCAAAATAACTGAAGCAGACCAGATCCTGAGTTACGATGTTGTGGACCTCTTCACAAGTGTCCCCATAGAAGAAACTCTCAAAATCCTCCGCCGACGCATCTCTGAATTAGAAACCCCCCTTGACACCAACCTCACCACTGACTCCATCATTGCCCTCACCTCTGCCTGCATCACCTCCACTTACTTCACCTGGGGAGACGACTACTATGAACAAATCCACGGCCTGCCCATGGGCTCCCCTCTGTCCCCAATACTCACAGAAATCTACATGACCTCCTTCGAACAGCAAGCACTCAGCACCTCAACCGTCAAACCAACCTGCTGGTACAGGAAGGTCGATGACACGTTTGTCATTCTTCGGCAAGACCAAGACCCAGCAGCCCTCCTGCAACACCTCAACCAACAGCACCCCCGGGTCCAATTCACCTTAGAAACAGAATCCAGTGGTCAACATCCCTTTCTAGATGTCCTTGTAACCAGAACCCCATCCAACAAGATCCAAACCAGTGTCTATAGAAAGCCAACCCACTCCGACCAATACATTCATTTTGACTCCAACCACCCCTTGAGAACCAAAACTGGCATTATCTCCACCCTCACCAGACGAGCCATCAACCTTTCCTCCACCAGTCCCACTACAGAAATACAGCACCTCCGCCATGTTTTCACCAAGTTCAACCACTACCCGTCAAAACTAGTCGATGAAATTATCAGTACCACACTCCACCCAACAAGAAAACAGGCCTCCAACAAACCTGAACCAGCACCTATTCGTATCTCTCTCCCCTTCATAGGCAAGACCTCTCACCACATCAGCCGTCTCCTGAAGCGACAGGCAGGCATCGAAACCTACTTTACCAGCTCTACACCATTGAAAACCTTACTGAAAGCTAATGGCAGGAACACCTCTAAACGACAACCTCAACCCAAAGGTGTTGTCTATAAAATCAACTGTGACTGTGGTGAGGCCTATGTAGGCGAAACCTCCCGGCCCATAAACATCAGAATCAAAGAACACTTATCATCTACCCTTAAATCTGACAGAAAATCGGCAATATCAGACCACATCATCAACTGCCCCAATCACAACATAATCTGGGACAATGTGGAGATATTATCCAAAAACCACCAGGACTTCACCAAAAGGAAACTTGCAGAAGCAGTTCAAATCCGGAGACACAAGCCCTCAATCAACAGAGACCAGGGATATCTCATCCCTTCTGCATACAATGAACTGATAAAAACAACAGATTACAACACTTGAGCTATCATTGTTAATTAATCTCATCAGCATGTATATTTTGTTTCTACCTCCACCACCATTGGCTTCCTATTGTCACTACATTATTGCCACCGTGCCTTGTTGTTGTTGTTAATCCCCTTGATTCATTCCTACATGTTGTTATTACTTAATCCCTGTTCATGTATATAAGTCTGTTCTGTGCTGGAGTACTTCACTCTTGCTTGACAACGGTATAAGAATCCATATCGAAAGGTCGCATCATATATAATAAAGAAGTTGTTATCCATAAAAATCTCTTACTTTCTTATTAGTCACCAACTTCTAAATGCCAATCAAACAGATAAAAAAATCAAACATAATTAAAACACAATTATCACTTATTATACATATAATATACATTGCTGGTTATGAAAAAACATATAAACAAAATTATAAGCGTACAATCGCAAATCAAAAGTGCAATATTGTGTACTTCGGTTTACTTCCCAAGAAACGAAGCAGCCGGGATACCGAACCCAGTAAGAGCGGGTGGGTGTGCACTCAAGTGTAACGGCTGGTTCATTTGCAGATGCCCTTACGGCTGATTGTGTGTGTATATGTACAGATGTTGGGTTTTGTAAATACATGCTCATTTTTTTGTGTATAACATTTTGCAATCAACAGACATCATAACATGTCATGTGTTCAAGTATCACACCTGCCTGTCTGTGTAATTACATAATGTGACAGAGACGGAACTCGGGCCATAAATCAATGCATTTTGTTTATGGTGTATAGCCTGATTGGTGTTAAGTTCAAATTGCATGTGGTCAGTGATAGCAGCTGTGTATTGAATATTGTCATTAGCAGACAGGCAGGCAGACACACAGGTGTCAATAAAACAAGACACTGAGTTTAGTCTGTGACAACGACATATCTATATCACAGTTGGAAATTCTGTCAACGCTAAATAATGACATTGCTTTTAAGTATCGAACTGAGAAAGTGACTCGGTAAGAAGAACGTGTGGTGAA